GGGGGGGGGGGGGGGGGGGTTCAAAGTCCTCAAAATCACTTTAAAACTATTCCTTGATTTTGTTATCACTTATCAATCACATTTTGCTGAAGTCTCAAGGAGATAATAATGTGGCCAGCTAGTTTTCTTGGTCAAAGGAAATAGAACTAACAGTGAAACTTGAGCAATAGTCTTGAATGTTCATCTAGTTTGGTTTGAGATTAAGTCTGAATTATCAATGTTACGACTCAAAAGAACCTTTACAAGCTGGCGTGCGGGTCCAGTATCCATGTAACTGAGAGTGACACTACTGATAAAAGCCAATTTGCAGAGGCATGCCCACCTCATACACAAAAAGATCCTAATTATGGGTTGTGAGATACAACTGGATAAGCCACCAGCTTATAAAACATGAGTGTCCCACAAATTTTAATGAAATACACTAACATCCACAAAAAGCTTGTATTTAGTTGAGATCCACATTGACCATTTAAGAGCAATTATTGATGTTAGCAAGTAGTTAAGAAAAAACATCTAAGTCATGAATCATGATTCTTTTGATTGCATTAGCCAGCTCTCCGCATTTCAATTCAGAACATCAAAGAAGAATAATAAAACAAAATTGGAAAGCAAAGAACATTCAGAACAGTTAGTTCCACTGATTTTATTTGAGCTTGAAATGTACCTGTGAGAGAATGCAAAGCAATGACTGTACATGATTGCGCATAATTGAATCGCCGATGAATGCAAATGATTTGTTCCGCATTAAATTAAGGAATTTCTTAGGGCTAAATCTTGGTAGCTCACAGTCTCTTGGGTTCCATCTCCAGTAAAGATAATCAGTATCAGGTCTCCCATTTTTCATACAATTCTGGTGAGATTCAATTGTATAGCAAGTGCTGTTAGTGTAAACTGGACCACTGGGATCTGGCACCCAATCTCCTATAAATAAATCACATTTTTCTGTAACCAAAAAAAAAAATGCAGCTTTTCAAAACTCATACACCAGAAACCAAGCTCAAAGTGCAAATCTAATTATTAATTCTAAGTTGTTCCTCATTCTGTATAGTAGTACATACTTGACATTCACTGGAATCACTACTTATCAGCCAAAGAACNAAAGGAGAACAAATTCCCCTGTCCAATGTTATCCCACTTAATTAATCCGTTTTTAATGGAGAATGTTCAGTTTCTCCTTTTCTTAAGGGGTTCCTTAAAACATAACACAAATTGATAAAAAACCTTGTTCCTCTAACACAAGATAATCACAAAATTGGACTGAAGTGAAGGGAAATATGATAGCGAAAGGGACCTTTCAAGAATCAATTTTTACAATATGTGGTCGTTCATGCATGGCCAGAAAAAACAAGATAAGAAGAAGAATCTTAACCAACCATTTTGCAAAGTTCGGTCCACAACATTCTCTGGAAGATCACCGGTTACCGGCGGCTGACTCACGGTGGCCGGCGGCGACAATGTGTTGTCGGGAACAAAAGCTGTGTCATTCACCTCAATCTGAGAAAACTGTTGAAAATTGGACAAGAACAGACGGTAGGCAAGACCAAACAACAGAAAACAAACTGCAAACTTTACAAAAACTAAGGACAATTGTTTCTTGCTAACGTTGTTGTTATTCAAGGCCTTCATTATTCTTGGTCTCTGCACTTGTTGTTACAGAGACCGAATAGTATAATATGGATACTTGTTCATTAAGGTCTGTGCAACAAAATAATATAGAAAGAGACAAATAAACAAAGGGAAGAAGAAGAAGAAATGATGGTGCAATAATGGTAGGAAAAAAGAAAGGTTTAAAAAATTGAGTATTTTTGGCAACCAACTGTTAACCAAGAAAGAAAAATGAAGGGGGTCGTTAGAAATAAGGCAAAGTAACACAAAAGTACAAAGGGAAAGGGTACAAAGGAAATAAAGTGGGGCTTCACTTTAACAGTGACATGGTGCACACCATTGTGTGTTCTCTGTTCACCTGCTATCCAGGATTTTATCCCTTTCATCATGTTATATGACTGCTTTGATCAGATATTAATTTCCATATATTAGAAGAAAAATATTGAAGTAATGATAAAAAGTTAATTTTGCTAAAATATATCACAACAAAATATAGGATTAACTGAATTTGATATTTGAAAGTCGCAAAAGTTATACCAGAGGGATTCGTTTGGTACAATGGTGGAATAAACAAGGATATTTTACGGATTAGCTATTCCACTTTTTAATGCGATAGGTGATCCCACCATTTTAGTGTAAAACTTATTGCAAGATTAATAATACCTATAACTAAATCTAGGATAAATACAATCCTAAATTTTATCCTGAAATGATTGTCTCATCCCTGTACCAAACGAACCCTGGAGTATTAATAGTTACGAACATTTCAGAATGGAAGTTTGAAGAAGAAAAAGAAGAAAAAGAGAGAAAGTGAAGAGTATTATTCTTGTGCTTTGGAGATTCTTTAGCACATATGTTGGCTTTTTTTCTTTTCTCCCTTTCTCACATTTTTCTTGGTTGGTTGTTAACTTGTAATCTAAGATGATGCCAGCTTAAGAGCGAAGTGGTTTGGGTTTGAAATGAAAACTTAAATTCAATGAATATAAGTTAATAATATTGGTACTATTGGAAATCATAATAGAACATTGCTTTTATTAGGAAACATTTTATTCTTAATGTGAAATTTGCAAATTCAAATTTAATCGGATCCTAATATGAATATTAAACATCAAATGGAAAACTAAAAAAATCAATAGAACATAAGGATAAAATACCTTATGGTTATTCATTAATTCAAAAAAAAAAACTTATGGTTAATTAACATGACAAACAATTATATTCTGTTATGAGAAGCATGTCAAAATCTTTTAAAATAGAGGCAGAATTTAGATTATATATATATATATATAATTATTTTAGATATAGAGTTTCGATCATATATAACAGGTACGGTCATATCCATTAATGCCTAGATCTGCCCGTGAAGTTGAATAGAGATTTGGTGTTATAAAAAAGCAGTCGAAATTATAGTCCAAAATGGTGTTGCTTTTAGGATTGCAGTTGGCAGTGCCTGTAAATGATTTTGCCACATTACTCACCTTTCTAATGCTTAGATGCGGTAAAACTGAATTGTTTAGTCTTGAAGATGGTTAATTAGAATTTGCACGAAATTGCTTAAAACTTGTGGATATTGCATCTCTGGTAGGAATAATTTGTGAACTGAATTTTACAATTCTCCAACCAATATGACTTCTTATTTGAAGAGTGAAAGAGATACTAAAAACAGTATTACAAATTAATCTATGTGATACAAAGAAAACACAGTAAACAAATGCAATCAAGCAGTGGACCACAGTGTCTTTTTGTGCAACCTTCAAAGAAAACCAATGGAAACGTGTCTGACTCAACTGTTCCATTTCTAATTCAGTTTCCATTTCCCAAAGCTCAAAGCTTATCATTTCACGTCGGAGGAGCAACTCGTGCCCCTTTTTTCGGCGACAAAATGGTTAAAAAAAAAGTTAATCATCCATATTATTTATTAAAAGTAGATTGGATAATAAATTTTTTAAAAACGGATAAAATATAGATAAGAACTATATTATCCATTTAGAAAATAGGTAACAAATGGATAATTAATAGATTTAACTTTTACATTTGTAAAACCACAAATTGGAGGTTCTTCAAATTAGAGATACTAAGAATTCGAAGTCATGGATAATATAGTTACTCATATTAATCCGTTTTTTATCCGTATTAAATATGAGTGGGGGCGGATAATTTATCCGTTTTTTCATTATCCGTATTTGACTCGAACCATATTCGACCCGACCCAGCCGCTTGCCACTCCTAGAATGACATGTGCTTCGAACAAATGCTTGTGTTTGCTTTTCGATTAAATATCGAGCATTGATTTAAAAAAAAAAAAATTATAGATGCCTTAATCTGTTTTATTTTCTCTTCGCACTCCTCCATGCTCGAATCTTCTATCTCAAATAATTGTAGATTTTTAAATCCAAATTATCTCAATTAATTGTACACTTTATATTTTTTGCATAAAGGGGCAATTCAAGATCTAAGGTCTGAGGTCATTGTAATATTTAATCCCCTCACCCCCACGGCCCCACCCCAGACTACCCCCAACAACAACCCTACATTGATTTAGGCACATCATGCAACTTTATCAGGGAATAAAGACGTCCTTTTTCCCATAAATAAAATCAAAGATTATTTATGAGATTCTGGCATTTCCTTATATCTACCGATTGGATTATTTGTCGGCAAAATTCCTACTTTAATTTATGTCTTTATTAATTTTTAATTAAATGAGAATGGATCGCATTAAGGAGCATTGCGTGTGAAGCAGATTGGGCAAGTAACTTTTGAGTTTTCATCATATTATAATTTGCTTGGTAGTGGCCCTTAGAGAACTTACATGAATTCAAAATAATCTACTGAAAAATTCTTTTGTAAAACTCCATTACCTAAACCACTAATTTGTTTCTAAACATTTAAGGTTAGCCTCCTAAGTAAAATGAGAATAGAGCGGATGGATAAGTAATTTGGTAATAGAGCCAAAATCAACCCTATTTTTGTGTTTTTCAATGTTTGCCTCTTGTTATGTTATCTATGCTCTAATTTTATCCAAGCATAAGTTTGCTTAATTATACATTACTGTAACACCCCACTCTTTAAATAGAGTCTCATATCGACAAAACACAAGAGGGATATTGGTTATATAAGTTAACAAGCCTTAGAGGCAGCTCAATAATATTGGAGACCTAAAGTTGTCACGACCCAAACCGATGGGCCGCGACGGACACCTGGTACCTTACTCAACCAAGTACCAACGTAACATATCTTTCGTATCATACTACCATATGTAAATGAAACGGAAAGGTTGTTGTGAGATAACTAGAATAAAACATGAGGGAACACTCGACATAGGACGACCCAAGATGTAATACAAACTTATACATATGACATAGGGGCCTAGAAGGCCAAAATGATCACTCATACACTAAACATAGGCCGACAAGGCCATACAATCTTTCAGATACATGACATATGTCTACAAGCCTCTAACAGTACATAAACGTCATAAGGACGGGACAGGGCTCCGACATACCAATCAATACCTGTCCAACGCATACTGACCAAATAGACAACTCTGGAGCAAAAAGAGTGCACCAACACCTTCTGCTAAGCTGATATCTTACTTGGAGGGCTCTCAACCTATCTATCGGGACCTGCGGGCATAAAATGCAGGGTCTACAGGCAAAAGGGACGTCAGTACAAATAATGTACCGAGTATGTAAGGAATGAAAATCAGTAAATAGTAGACATGAGAGAAACATGGAGTAAGAGACTGAACATGTAGGTCTGAATAACTCTGTGAATCATTAATATTTATAATGTCATGCATATGTGTATAAATGTCATGTCATGCATAGGTATATGCGTTCATAAATTTATTAAGTCTCTGAGGGAATCCCATCATATCAACTCGGCCATTGCGGGCAAAATCATCAACATATACCATCTGATCAGGTGGTGGTACGTATATAACACCGTAACCTTTTTTCATATTCCATATACATATATATACGCCATATAACGTCGTCTGGTCATGGGTCAATGTACATGGATAAATGAATGCAATACATGAGAAATACGTCAATAAAATCTCTCGAAACGTCATAAGACCATTATGCCTCTGATTAATATCATGAAATAAACTTTATTTTCTAAGACCCATGAATAGACGATAGAATAATAAGACATATGGGGAATTAAGAACATAGGAACCTCTAGTATTTCTATGAATATAGTCATTTATGAAAGTTATGCATTTGCTCGTTTTGTTTGTATCGTATGGATCATGCCAAAAAAGGGATAGCTTTAACATACTTGGGCCGATTCTCCTGATAATCCCTCTAACATACTTCAATTGTGACAAAACACATAACGACAGATCGAAGTAGGGAAGAATTTGTATGATATTCTTAAGAGAGAATGTACCATGCTTCCTTATAATTGCATCTCACGCATAATAGGATCTTGTAAGGGTTCATGTGAATTCTTACTTTGAGAATTCACCCATTGTTGTTTTTGAAATTCTAATCGATCTCCATTTTGTGAATAAAGAGATTTTCTCAATAGCTATTTCAATAAGAATGAGATAAGGTGTATATATCCTTAAATAGTGCCACCACCTCCTTAAGTATAAGATTAGTTAGCAATTTAGTCCCATATCTTCATAATCCCACGTGGATTGTTGTCCCCTAGTAATTATCCAAGATTCTTACTTAATCACAATGTTAATCTTTCACCAATTCATAATTAACCAAATATCCACATATTACGAATTAATCTCAAATTACTAAAATACTATTTACTTTTAACGCACTTTATACACCTTACTATCATGGTCATGTGGTACCTTGTATGGTACTAGTCCATAAATATCGGGTATTATAGTTCCGACCATATTTTGTCCCAAATTATCAAACTTCGACCAAACTCATTTTCTTCGATTCGTCACGAATTTACTTATCACTTGTTTAAAATAGAATAATACTTGTAATCTCCAAATAATCTTGTCCTTGAATTGATGTTAATTATCTTACAACAAATTCAATGTACAATACTATAGAGTGTAACATCGTCATAATATAATACTTCGGAGCATATCATCCACGTAATACTGCGGGGCGTAACATCATTCCAGTCACGACCCAAACCGATGGGCCGCGATGGGCACCCAGTACCTTACTCAGCCGAGTACCAACATAATGTATCTTTCTTATTACATCATCATATACACGTGACATACGAGCCTAATAGGCCAACATGATCCTTTATAAACTCAAAACATAGGGCGACAAGATTGTACAATCTTTCACGTACACGAAATATGTTTACAAGCCTCTAAGAGTAAATAAATGTCATAAA